CATGCATTACACTAATGAATAGAATGTTTATAAAATTATTTTTGCTGGTATATAAATGGATGATTACCTTTTGTATATATAAATGAATAAGATGTTTAAAAAATTATTTCTATTGGTATATGAATGAATTATTACCTTCTTACCTTCTGTATATATAAGAGAATTTACAAGAATTCTAATTGGATTTTTTTATACTATGTAAATGCTTCTTTGTAGAAATCTATGATGGGATCATTTATTTGAGGAAGTTGTTTATTTACTCAAAGCATTATGTTTGTAAGGGAATTTGGTTTTGTTTTGGATATTATGCACTTTGTTGAAATAACACTGTTGTGTTTTATGAAGCTTAATTGGTATATTGAATACTGTTAGTGAGCTGGCTTCATTGAGCTTATTAGTTATATGATGTAGCTACACTTGTTGACTTTTCAAGACTTGTGATATTTTGTATAAATTAAAATATTTTGGTTTTGGAAAATGCTTCTTATAGGTGCATGTATGTTTTTTTTTTATTAAGGTGATTTTGTAATTCTTTGTTTTTTACAGATTTTTTAAGATTATCTTGTTAAGAGTTCTTTTGAAATTTTAAAGTGATCAAAAAGTCTTTAGGTGCCTGATGGTGCAAACTTATGATTGTGTTTTTTAAAGTAAGGTGGTGTCACTCTTGATCTATGTTTGTTTTATAGATTTTTGTTTTATCAGACTTAGTACAATGACTTTAGTTTTTCACTTATACTAAGTTTGTGGATTATAAATAATTTAATTATAGTTTTAATGTTATTAAATATCTTTTACTTTATAGTGTTTTTTTTTTTGTTTATATGAAAACATATTATATTATGATTATAAATAAATTAATATTAATAATTAAAAATATAATTTTTTAAAAAATTTACTAACGTTTTAACATTTATATTGATGCACTTGATCGTTGGAATATTTCAGGCGATACTAATAGTCACAAAATATAATAAAAAAATTAATACATATAAGTTGATATTGACAATCTCAAACCGTTGGTAAAGGTAAAAAAATTAAAGCATATAATTTTATACTGATAGTCTCTAACCATCGGTATAGGTAAGAAAATTAAAAAATACAAGTCTATACTGACGGATGTTAAGCGTCGGTATAAGTAAGAAAAATTATAAGTCTATACTAACAAGCGTTAACCAACGATATAAGTCAAAAAAATTCAAATATATAAATCTACACTGACAAGCGCTAGCCATAGGTATAGATGAGAAAATTAAAATATACAAATATATACTGACGGGTTTCAAGCATCAATATAGGTAAAGTCTATACTGACGACCATTAACCGTCGGTATAAGTAAAAAAAATTAAAACGTACAAGTCTATACTGACGGATGTTAACCGTCACTAAAAGGTATAACGGTGGAACACACAACAAATACTATACCAACAGATATACATTTATTGACAGACTTGAACCGTTGGTATATCTTTATAAGCTATTTTGACGCCTTAAAAAACCGTCAGTATAGGTCTATATTTACAAAAGATATATCGACGGTTAAAAATTTATCAAAATACATTTTTTGACTGTTGGTATAAAGTTTATGGTGCTATACTGATGGATTTTTTGTCTTACCGATGCTTTTTTAAGCGTCACTATATGTCACATTTCTTATAGTGATTATTGTATGCGTGGCAAAACAAGACGGATTTAAAAAAAATTTTAGTGTTTATTTATGATATAAATAAAAATTGTAAATAAATTTATCAATTTTATTTATGAAAAATATGTTTAAAAAAAATTTAAAGATGTTAAAAAAATTTTTCCTTCAAATTTACTTGCTTTTTCAATATTTAATAGTATACATGAACATTCTACCTTTCCTTTAAATCTATCATTTGGAATGCCTAATGAGTCTATCTAGTGTGTTTGTTTAAGGGTGGATTTAAAGACTGATATGATTAGAGGCTAAACCAAGCATAAGAAGAAAATGGTTTCGATAGTAAATTCAATGAAAAAAAATCAAATGATAAATTTTATGAAAAAAAATACTATACATATAAAGATATTAAAATTTTTTGGGACCATGGCCATGCCTACCCTAGCTATGCCTTGAATATAGCACAACATTTACAAAGAGGTGATACCTATTTTAGAATAAGGCACCTTGTGGAATTTAGGGTGAACATGATTAAGAAAGTTTCTCATTATAAAAAAGGTTAGTACTACCCATAATTTTTAAATTTTAATCCAAAATCTATTTTGGTTTTTAAATTTTAAATAATTTTAATCGCATCCCTAATTGTCTAAAGTTGTCTTATTTTAGTCATTTCATCTATGAAATCATTTAAATTAATGACAACTATCAACTGATACCATGTGATGACGTTAGCTAGCATCTCATATGGTAGATGAGGAACTAAAATAGAATCTCTTAAAGTTTAAGGACCAAAGGTGAAATTATCTCAAAATTTATATATTTTATATATGTTTTGTAAAATATTAAATATTAAATTTAAAAATTATATTTTGTTGTAATATTTTTAATAGAAAATATTTTTTAAAAAATTAAAATTAAGTTAAAAATTCAAATTCTTTTTTGAAAAACAAAAAATGATTTACTATTAAAAATATTATTTTACTTATAAATTATAATAAAAATATTATTTTCTATCAATAAAATATATTTTAAAATATTAAATATCTTTTATTTTCCTTTTTCAAATATATTTTATAAAAAATAAATAAAGGAAAAGATGAAAATAATTCAAGAAAATTTGATTTTATATTTTTGAAAATATTTTATAAAATATTATAATTTAAAATATTTTTTAATTTTTATTATGATATGATTTATCAATAAAATAATATTTTTAATAGAAAATAGATTTTTAAAAAAATTAAAATTAAGTTGAAATTTTCAAAATAATTTTATTAAAATTACCTATCATTTTAAAAAATAAGTAAAAATTTTTATATCAGTTTAAGAAATTAAATAAAAACTTTATATCATATTAAAATTTTGTAGAAATTTTCAGATCATTTTCAAAAATAGATTTTATTAATCTATTCAAAAATATAAAAAACTTTATATTCATCAAAAATAAAATATAATTTAAAACATTTTTATTTTTTCTTTTTTATATAACGTATTTTATAAAATATATTTAAAAAGAAAAAAATAAAAAGATATTTAATATTTAAAAAATATATATTTGTATAGAAAATAATAAATTTTATTATGACTTATGAGTAAAATAATATTTTTAATAATTTTTTTATTTTTAAAATATATTTCATGTAAAAAAAAGAATTTGAAAATTTTAACTTAATTTGAAGTTTTGAATATTTATTTTATATTTAAAGCAAAAATCTATCTAATAAGTTATATTATAACAAAAAATATGTAAATATAATTTTAAATTTAATATTTTTATAAGACGTGAATGAAATATATAAAATTTTAAAATAATTTTGTTTTTCGTTCCTAAATTTTGAAAATAAATATATTTTAATTTATCATTTGTCACGTAAGATGCTAATTGACGTCATCACATAATTTCATTTAGCATTTGTCGTTAATTTAGATTGTTTCATAAATGGAAGAACGAAATAAAATAACTTTAAGCAATTAAAGATCCAATTAAAATTTTTTAAAATTTTGAGACCAAAGTAGAATTTAATTAAAATTTTAAGAATTATGGGTGTTATTAACTCTTATAAAAAAATTATGTTGGTTTGAATGAAAATTTCGCATTTAAAAAAAAATCTATTTACGAGGCAAACTACAATATTTTTACAACAATCTAAACTTAATCTATTAATTATTTATCTAATTTTAAGAAGGTTAATATCTAAAATTATAAATTATATATGTTATAATAAGAGATTGAGAGTCGAATTAAGCCATTTGAACAAAAAAAAAAAGGGGGATCTTCAATTGAACCAAATACTAGATGTAATATTTATAAATAAAAAACAAAAAAAAATTCTTATATTATCATCTTGTTTAGTAGTATTACATGTTAAAATATATAATTCTTAATTCATAATATCCCTATCAAAGTAAAATTTATAAATTAATGTGCATGATAAATAAAAATATTATCTTATTCATCAATAAAATTTAAAATTCTATCAGCCAAATTATATAATTAAAAAATAATAAAATTATGTAAAATTAATGAAACATAATAAAAACATATAATAAATAAACTCAAAAAGTAAATGATAGCAATCACACGGTAATACGACTTAATTTAATCTACCGTCTAAGAGGATAAGCATGAGATTAAACTTTAAATTAAAAGAAAAAAAAAAAAAAAACCCTTCAAAACCGTTGGCTGATGGGTCTTGTAGTGCGCCCACAGTCCCATCCTTCAAATCCGGAAACCGGTTACCGGTTTTTGCCTGCCCTCTCTTAACGCGGTTTTCGAACTAACAAGAATTCCCGAAAACCAGGAGCCTATTTTTATTTTATTTTCTGTTTTTTATAATATTAAAAAATAGAGAGTTTAAGGTGGCTCCCACTTCACTCCCTTGCATATGTGGCGATTCGACCGCACTCTGACACCTGAACGTGGCTGCCACGCGATGCTCTCTTCCTTTCTCAAATTTTGGACCATTTGCATGGCATCTTTAAACTTTTTTCACCACTTGTCCTATTTTTCAATCTCCATTTTATCCTTTTTTTTTTTAATTTTTTCTCTAAAAAGATTGTAATTTAATGAAACAATTAGAGGTAATATAGTAAATGACATTTTGCATCGATATTCGAGAAACGTTCAGTAAATTTTTGGATTGCCCTGCGCAGAAGGGACAGTACCTTAAGTACGCCTCCAATGGAGATCCCAAATTGGATTCATTAATTAGGAGTGCATTACACGCGCATGAACTGAGAGTGGTGAAAAAAAAAACTATTCAAAACATAGTAAATTTTTTTTTTGTTTTAATCTTTTTGAAGCCAACCTCCTTGAATGTGGAAACCAGTATTTTGGAGATGAAAACAACTGCGTCCCTTGTACCTGAAAACCCAGCGGCCTCTCTGCATAATTTTTTACTTTTTAATTTATTTTTTTTCTTCCCTTAAATACTCTCACTTCAATTCTATCTCCCAAAATCCCTACTCTCTTTTTCTTTCCTCTATTTCCGTTCCATTTCTTTCTTTTTTCCTCTTATTTTCGTTCCCCTTTTCTCTCAAGCAACTATTTTCCTTTCATTTCTTTCACCTTTTCTCTTTTGTCAAACATTTCAAAATGCGAATGAGCTGTAATGGATGTCGGGTCCTTCGTAAAGGCTGCAGTGAGAACTGTAGCATTAGACCCTGTTTACAATGGATCAAAAGCCCTGAATCCCAAGCAAACGCCACCGTTTTTCTCGCCAAGTTCTACGGCCGTGCCGGTCTCATGAACCTCATCAACGCCGGCCCCGAACATCTCCGTCCTGGTCAGTACCCAAGAAATATTTCTTATTTACCTCATCGTAGGAGTTACATGAGTGGCTTTTGGATTGACGCCTTTTTATTATTTTCAGCTATTTTTAGGTCATTATTATACGAGGCTTGTGGGCGGATTGTGAACCCTATTTACGGTTCGGTCGGGTTATTGTGGTCCGGAAGCTGGCAACTTTGTCAAGCCGCCGTGGAAGCTGTGTTAAAAGGTGCTCCGATCACGCCGATTGCTTCGGAAGCCGCTGCAAATGGTCAAGGGCCGCCTCTTAAAGCATACGACATTCGTCATGTTTCCAAAGATGAGAACTCTGCAGCGTCCAACGATGTTCATCGAGTGAAGACTCGGTGCCGAGTGAAGAGAACTGTCAAGCCGAAGTTGAATAAGCCGCTGGTGGAGGAAGATAACCACAACGCAGAAGCTGATGCGCGGTGTTACGCCGATGAAGGAAACCGTTCGACGAGTCACGAGTCTTCGTTGAGTCACCAGTCGGAGTTGGCGGTTATGGATGGGGAAAGTAAAGAAACCGAGAGCATGATCTCGGAGGAAACAGCGGCGGCATCGCAGTTGTTTCCGACGGAACCAGAGTTCAGAGGTAAGCTTTCAGAGGACAGGACGGCGGAGGTAAGGGGCGAGATTGGGCTGGAGCTGACGCTTGGGTTTCAACCGGTAAAATCACGTGCGTGTCACGTGGTGGTACCTGTGAAGAAAAGGAAGGTGGTTGTGGCATACGGCACGTGCGAGAATAGTGAAACGTGTAAGGTAGAGCTGGGGCTGGATTATCCGGCTTAAAAGGCTTTTGAAAGAAAGGATAGGTTGGTCCAGTTTTGGCGGATAAGTTTCGGCATTTGTTTATTTTGCATAGAAGAGTTGTGGGTGGGGTTTTTTTTTTTTTTGTATTTTCTTTTGTTTTGTGGTAAGTTCTTTTTTGGTTTTTATTTTCCCTTTATGTTCCCTTTATGAAAAGGAAAAAAAGGAAGAATGTACAAATGTGGTTAACATGAATAGAAATGATAAATTTATAGAGGGAATCACAAGAATTTAATTTTGAACAATATACTGCTTGAATTTAAATATTTATATGTTTAACATTATTTATGGAATTTAAAAAGTTACCATTTTAGAGCATTTTAGAGTTTAACCTCCAATGACGGTGCATAAAAAATTAACCGATACTTTATTTGATTATTAAAAAATTTAATTTCTATTTACTAAAAAATATGTGTTTATGTGCACTGATTAATATTAATTAAAATATTATTTAAAAAAATTTACATTTAACGCATTGCCTTTATTGAATTTAAATACAAGATATTGTATTAATTTTAATTTTATATATTTAAATTTCACTTTGCCGCTAAACGTCATTAACGTTTTCAGTTGTAAATAGTTTTGACTTTACCATTAGGCCATTAACTCGTCACTGTTTTTTTGTATACATTTCTTAGATAACAGACAGAAGAGAACCTAAATTTTTTCACTTCTTTTGTTCTTCGTTTCATTCTTTTTGTTTTTTTAGTGTTTATTTACTGTTTTCGGTTTTATTTTTTAATAAAAGTAAAAAATTAATTAATTAAAATACAAGATAAATAAAAGTATAAATCAAACATAGCTTTAGTAACTTGGCATTGGGTGAAATCAAACTCAGTTTTTTTATATAATATATATTTTGAGAATGAGTTTTTTTAATTAGATTATATGAATAAATATAAGCTACAATTGTTAATCGAACAATTTTTAATATCTATATGAAATATTATCAAATCCATTAATAATGAGGATTTTAAACTTTACAAGTTGGGTTAAGAAAATTACATATATTTTTAAAATATAAATAATTAATTAAAAATATAAATAAAATATATATTAGTCTCTTATTATATTTTTTTAAATTAAGAATTTATTATGAGAGTATATCAAATACTAATTATATATATAAATCTCAAAATATTACACAATTTATACAAAAAATCGAGTGAACTAAATTAACATAATTATTGATAAGATTCAACATAAAATTAAATTAAATTCACATTAATAAAACTTTAACCACAATTTAAAAATTTCCTTCTTATCATTGAAAAAAAAGCTTTACTTTCCTTAAATTCATTTACCCTTCAAACTATATTACTTTTGTCGGTAAGTACTTGAAAAATAAAAATTTGTAAGTATACAAAGTTTACTTTCATTACATATTTTACTTTTAATTCTTTTCATCGTCAGCTAATGTATTGTCGTAAGAGAAACATCTAATAAAATCATGATACCTGGAAAAAAGTAAAATTTTTTTTGAAATTAAAAAAAATAAAAAATAAAAATAGATTTTTATTTTTAATTAAAAAATATATAAAAACCAAAAAAAGAAAGGAAAGGAGGATTGAGAAAGGAGGGGAGAGTAAAGGGCGGTGAATGGGTTGATGCTGGCATTGATTAGTCAAATCGAGATAGATGAGTGATGATATGTCCGAACAAGGTAAATCAACATCAATCTGACTTGCTTGAACTAGATCTGTGCCGATCCTAATTCAATGCGCAATCAGTCCTAAACCACTCGATGGACAACCAATCAACCAGTTCTTTCCTTCTTTACCTTCTCTTCTCTCTTTTTTCCCATCCTTTCCTTCATCTTTAACTCACCTTTCTCTTTTTTGAATTTTTTTCTGTAAAATTTAAATTTATTGAAAATTTTTTCCAAAGTTTGATTTTTTAAAAAGTTTCTTTTTTTTTGTTTTTTTTTTTAATTTTGAATTTTACTTGAAAATTTTGATTTTTTTTATATTTTAATTTTTTTAAATATATTTTTAAAATTTTTTTCCTCTATTATTGATACTATGATGGATTCATAAATGACATGATTCTTACATGTAATCTAATTAGAGAATTGCTCGACAAATGATGCTTTGATGATCGACTAAATATGCCTTGTCATAAGTCATAATAAGCTTAGCTTATGAAGTAATTTGTCTTATGAATACAACTTAAGTTCTTAACGTAAATTTTTATTCTTTTGGTATCAAACTGACGTAAGTGATATAATTAGAAAATCAAATGAGTATTTACTTGACAACTTGTAAATTATATCGAGTTTTGATTCATATCCAAATGACATCCTTATAAAACCATACTACTTGAAACATGCATTTTAACCATTGTTAGAAATAGTAATTTCCTTGCATCACAAAAGGTGTTGGGACAAAATAGGATACAAGCATGCATTTCATGAGTTTTAAATAACAAATATGTTGTTGTTGTTTTTAATTAATTAAAAAACAAATTTATCAGAAAATACTAAAAACATGATTGCCAAGCATAACAATTGAATCCTCAACATCTATCTTCACATAATTGGCTAATAATCTCTTCTTAATTCCTATACTAATCATTTACATGGAGCAATCAAGTCAATAACAACCAAAGATGATACTAAAATTTAACCTATGTGGGTTTTATAACCATTTTAACAAATAAAATTAGTAATAATTGTTTATAAAAGGTTGAGCCTTGGGCATAAAAAAGTAAGCCAATGCTTGAAAACTTATTCACGAGACTTACAACTCATTTGAGCGTAATACAAAGTACTTATATCAATTCATCATATTACTAAAATTACTTGAATTTGGAATTTAATTAAGTTGGTTTATGTAGTTATTTTTAAGAGATGATATCCAACAACTATAAATTTAATATCTACAATCTTTTCTCTTATCTCTAGATTATGACCTCTTATTTAAAAAAACACATTTAAAGCTTGAGCTTTACTTTAATTCTATAACTAGTGTAGAAATCTAATTCTCCTACATTAGTGTAGCTTTGTTTCCTAATTTATTTTGGGAATACTTCTCATTTATTCTTATGATTTGTCAACTATTTTAATTGTCAAGCTTTTAGGGAATTGTTTCTATTTTAGAATAGAATAATTCTCTTTCTTTTTATTATTTTTGTTTCTTGTTTCTTGTAAGTTGTTTCCTAATAAGAAACTTTATTGTTCCTATTTTTTTGATATACTCTTTCATTATAAAAATAATAAGAAGAAAAAAAAATTGTTCTTTAAGTTTTTCATATGGTACCAGAGTAAATCGACCTAAACCATTAAATTGTAGCCATACGAGTTTCCATTATGTCCAATAAGAGTGAGAACTCTTCATCTACAGAGGTATGGCATGAGAAAAGTTACAAAAAAGGTGATGTTCCAATAAACCCTTCAAAATAAGTTTGCAACCTTTGGAACTAGTTTTTTAACAAAAAAAGATAATTTCCTAAATGCCTTAAGTGTTCAATAAGGAAATACACAATCTTGGATTGTTTATTTCGGAGCATCAGACCACATGACTTGAGATATATTCTTATTCAAGACATATAGAACTTACTATAATAGTTCTGCTGTAAAAATTGTCGATGGATCTCTCTCAAAGGTGACAAGAACATGTTCTATTATAGTTTTGAAAGACATAACACTCGACTTTGTCCTCTATGTCCTTAATTTAAATTGTAACCTACTTTTCATCAGTAAACTTACAAAGGATAGATGTTGTGTCACTAAAATTTTTTTTAACTTGTGTGAATTTTAAGAATTGGGCTCGAAGAAAATTATTGGCAGTGCTAGGATATGTGTAAGGCTTTACCTTTTACAAGATAATGCACTTGAGAGACCACAATAATGCACTTGAAAAATCACAAAACTCTTGTATAACCTTAGCCTCTAGTACTAGTAAAGATGACTTTATCATGTCATGACATTATAGACTAAGACATCCAAATATTTTGCACTTAAAAAGGCTATTTGCCTCATTATTCAGTAAAATCTCTAAAGATTTTTATTGTGAAATTTATCAACTTTCGAAGCATGCTTCAAATACCTATCCTAACCTTTCATATAAATCATCTTAGCTTTTCTTAATAATTCAAAATAACATTTCAATACCGTAAAAAGTTAATAATATCATAGGTTCTAGGTGGATTGTTACATTTATCAATGATTATACTCAACTCACTTGCGTATTCCTTATGAAAGAAAAGTATAAGGTTGGCCAAAATTTTTAAAACTTCAATAGCATGGTACGAACCTAATTTCAAGCCAAAATCCAAGTTTTAAAAATTGACAATGGGAAGAAATACTTCAATTCTATTCTCGATCCTTACTTCACCAATCATGGCATTATTTGTCAAAGCTCTTACATTAACACTCCATAGCAAAATATGGTTGCTAAATCCAAAAACATATATTTGATAAAAGTGACTAGATCCTTCTTGTTGACTTCCAATATGCTTAAATATTTTTAGAAAGAAGTTGTCTTTATTGTAGTTTATTTGGTTAACTAAATGCCTTTTTGAGTTTTTGGCTTCTCCTTACTTCCTACATATAAACTTTGTTTATTTTTTCCATTCCTATCAAACTCTTTGGCTGCATTGCCTTTGTTTATATTAGCCAACAATGTCGTAGCAAGCTTGATCCCAAAGCCTTAACATGCATCTTCCTTAGTTATTCCTCAAACTAAAAAGGCTATAGATGTTACTCATCTATTACAAAAATTTTATCACTCTATGGATGTCATATTCTTTGAGAATTTTTCATACTATAGCAACAATGATATTTAGTGAAAGAATACTGCTTAGGACTATCAATTTTTAGTTGTTAACTTACCAATTTTCCAACCAGCCCTTTTAAAACCAGTTTTCAATTAGCCTTTTTAAAACTAGATTCTTAACTAGTCCCTTCAAAACTAGATTTTCAACACACCCAACCTTTTCAAACAACTTTCGATATTTCAAAGGTTATGCATGAAAAATAAAAAGAATTGATACCTACTCAGGAAAGCAAAAAATGTAGGAAGAAGTAGACAACTGTACACAATCAAGCACTAAAAATTAACTTGATCTAAGTTTTCAAGAATTTAGAACTAACACAAGTAATATCTTTATTGAATCTAAAACTAAAACTTGTGAGCCAGCTTGTGACCTTGAAATTTTTATTGCATTAAGAAAAAGTGTAAGATCAAGAACCTAGTACCCTATATGCAAGTACATCTCATAT